ACTGCTGTCCGCCAAGTCAGCGAGGTCATCTCTAAATGGTCCAAGTTTGTTCAATGTTCCTTTAGGATATGTAAAGTTTTCCAAGCAATTACATAGAAAGCGAATCTGTTCATGAGATGCAGAATTCAACAAAGTTTGCTGTTGAATTGGATGAGAAATACACAAGAGCTCCACAAACGGTCTGTGTTTGATATAACTGCTAGTCATCTCTGTTCGGCGGTCAGCGACGGAATGAAGATTTAGTTGGAAATAACATATTATATATTAACGAAATTAGTATCTTAGGATATCAATATCTTGGGATATCAATATTTTAGGATATCAATATCTTAGGATATCAGTATCTTAGGATATCAATATCTTAGGATATCAATATCTTAGGATATCAGTATCTTAGGATATCAGTATCTTAGGATAACAGTATCTTAGGATATCAATATCTTAGGATATCATTATCTTAGGATATCAGTATCTTAGGATATCAATATCTTAGGATATCAGTATCTTAGGATATCATACAATATCTTAGGATATCAATATCTTAGGATATCATTATCTTAGGATATCATACAATATCTTAGGATATCAATATCTTAGGATATCAATATCTTAGGATATCAATATCTTAGGATATCAATATCTCAGGATATCATACAGTATCCTAGGATATCAGTATCTTAGGATATCATACAATATCTTAGGATATATTATCTTAGGATATCAATATCTTAGGATATCAGTATCTTAGGATATCATACAATATCTTAGGATATCAATATCTTAGGATATCATTATCTTAGGATATCATACAATATCTTAGGATATCAATATCTTAGGATATCATTATCTTAGGATGTCATACAATATCTTAGGATAACAATATCTTAGGATATCAGAATCTTAGGATATCAGTATCTTAGGATATCAATATCTTAGGATATCAATATCTTAGGATATCAATATCTTAGGATATCAATATCTTAGGATATCAATATCTTAGGATATCAATATCTTAGGATATCAGTATCTTAGGATATCAGAATCTTAGGATATCAGTATCTTAGGATATCAATATCTTAGGATATCAATATCTTAGGATATCATACAATATCTTAGGATATCAATATCTTAGGATATCAAAATCTTAGGATATCATTCAGTATCTTAGGATATCATACAATATCTTAGGATATATTATCTTAGGATATCAATATCTTAGGATATCATTATCTTAGGATATCAATATCTTAGGATATCAATATCTTAGGATATCAATATCTTAGGATATCAATATCTTAGGATATCAGTATCTTAGGATATCAGTATCTTAGGATATCATACAGTATATTAGGATATATTATCTTAAGATATCAATATCTTAGGATATCAGTATCTTAGGAGGATATCAATATCTTAGGATATCAGTATCTTAGGATATCATACAATATCTTAGGATATCAATATCGTAGGATATATTATCTTAGGATATCAATATCTTAGGATAACAGTATCTTAGGATATCATACAATATCTTAGGATATCAATATCTTAAGATATCATTATCTTAGGATAGCATACAATATCTTAGGATATCAATATCTTAGGATATCAGTATCTTAGGATATCAGAATCTCAGGATATCAGTATCTTAGGATATCAATATCTTAGGATATCAATATCTTAGGATATCATACAATATCTTAGGATATCAATATCTTAGGATATCAAAACCTTAGGATATCATTCAGTATCTTAGGATATCATACAATATCTTAGGATATATTATCTTAGGATATCAATATCTTAGGATATCATTATCTTAGGATATCAATATCTTAGGATATCAATATCTTAGGATATCAATATCTTAGTATATCAGTATTTTAAGATATCAGTTTCTTAGGATATCAATATCTTAGGATATATATTAATATCTTAGGATATCATACAGTATCTTAGGATATCATACAATATCTTAGGATATCATACAGTATCTTAGGACATCAATATCTTAGGATATCAATATCTTTGGATATCAGTATATTAGGATATCAGTGTCCTAGGATATCAATATCTTAGGATATCAATATCTTAGGATATCAATATCTTAGGATATCATTATCTTAGGATATCAATATCTTAGGATATCAATATCTCAGGATATCAATATCTTAAGATATCAATATCTTAGGATATCAATATCTTAGGATATCAATATCTTAGGATATCAATATCTTAGGATATCAATATCTTAGGATATCATTATCTTAGGATATCAATATCTTAGGATATCAATATCTTAGGATATCAATATCTTAGGATATCAATATCTTAGGATATCAGTATCTTAGGATATCAATATCTTAGGATATCAGTATCTTAGGATATCAGTATCTTAGGATATCAATATCTTAGGATATCATTATCTTAGTATATCAGTATCTTACGATATCAATATCTTACGATATCAATATCTTAGGATATCAATATCTTAGGATATCAATATCTTAGGATATCAATATCTTAGGATATCAGTATCTTAGGATATCAGTATCTTAGGATATCAATATCTTATGATATCAATATCTTAGGATATCAATATCTTAGGATATCAGTATCTTAGGATATCAATATATTAGGATATCAATATCTTAGGATATCAGTATCTTAGGATATCAATATCTTAGGATATCAATATCTTAGGATATCAGTATCTTAGGATATCAGTATCTTAGGATATCAGTATCTTAGGATATCAATATCTTAGGATATCAGTATCTTAGGATATCAGTATCTTAGGATATCAGTATCTTAGAATATCAATATCTTAGGATATCATTATCTTAGGATATCAGTATCTTAGGATATCAGTTTTCTTAGGATATCAATATCTTAGAATATCAGTATCTTCGGATATCAATATCTTAGGATATCAGTATCTTAGGATATTATTATCTTAGGATATCAATATCTTAGGATATCAATATCTTAGGATATCAATATCTTAGGATATCAGTATCTTAGGATATCAGTATCTTAGGATATCAATATCTTAGGATATCAGTATCTTAGGATATCAGTATCTTAGGATATCAATATCTTGGGATATCAGTATCGTAGGATATCAGTATCTTAGGATATCAGTATCTTAGGATATCAATATCTTGGGATATCAGTATCGTAGGATATCAATATCTTAGGATATCAATATCTTAGGATATCAGTATCTTAGGATATCAATATCTTAGGATATCAGTATCTTAGGATATCAGTTTTCTTTAGGATATCAGTATCTTAGGATATCAGTATGTTAGGATATCAATATCTTGGGATATCAATATCTTAGGATATCAGTATCTTAGGATATCAGTATCTTAGGATATCAATATCTTAGGATATCAATATCTTAGGATATCAGTATCTTAGGATATCAGTATCTTAGGATATCAATATCTTAGGATATCATCCAGTATCTTAGGATATCATTTTTCTTAGGATATCAATATCTTAGGATATAATCCCTATCTATCCATTGGGATACATTTAGTTATGCAAATTTTTTGTTCGCCTAATCCCTTAATTACCTACACGCCACCTAATCACTTAGCAACGCATAACAACGCAGCAAAGTTTAAAATGTTTCTTAATACAAATAATAGACAAAAAATATTACAACTAAGACTGTTAAATTGTTCTACAGGTTATTTCCTTCAAGTATTCTATCTGACTCGGTCATCTTGACCGTATATATGTATGCGGGTTTACAACATGCAAATAGCGATCATAACAACGGCTTTGACAACCCGGGATTAGCAACTGCTTATTTCTGTTGCGATATTTTTTATTTCTGTTTGGAAACTTATTGCTCAAAACGAGCCATCAAATTCATTAAAAAATTAAAACGAATTTCAATTGCGTGTTGAAAATAAGAGAGGGACTCACAACGTTGTTACATGATTGTAGTGCAAAAAATTTTCTACTGTACCGGGTTCGAACCGGTGACCTAAGGAATACTGAATTGGTAATAACTACAATCCTTTGCTCTACCAACTGAGCTAACGGTAGGTTTTAAAAAACTAACTTCTATTTCATACTTTTATACATGCAAACTATGAGAAACCTCTTGTCGTTTTATTACAAATTTGTCAGAAACTAGTTGTGATGCTAATCGATCGCCTGCCACATCTGGCCCAGGCCTACCCGCGTTAATTGGTCGCGCTACCTGTCACAGTCGGTCCAGGCCTGCCCGCGTTAATTGGTCGCGCTACCTGGCCCAGGGTTAGGGTTAGGTCCTGCAAAGCTACGTCATAAATTTTGCATACTAATTACTTTCGGAGCAGCGTGACGTCATTGGCGGCATCCCTTTGGTCTCCATAGTGGGGTCTATCACTACTCACGCCTCCATTAAACCAAGGCTAACGACGCCCCTGCAAGTCGGCTGCATCGCTGTTTCCCCCTTTCCAAACGCCCGGCGATGGAAGCCGTGTTTTTTTCGCGAGAAAACATTTATATGAATTTTTATAATTATCATAAATTATAAAGGCAAACAGCGCTATACTTCCGGTGACACCTTCAGAACAGAATTTGAAACAGCAGAACATAATTTGAAACAGCAAAACAGCATTTGAAACAGCAGAACAGAATTTGAAACAGCAGAACAGAATTTGAAACAGCAGAACAGAATTTGAAACAGCAGAACAGAATTTGAAACAGCAGAACAGAATTTGAAACAGCAGAACAGCATTTGAAACAGCAAAACAGACTTTAAAACAGCAGAACAGAATTTGAAACAGCAGAACAGAATTTGAAACAGCAGAACAGAATTTGAAACAGCAGAACAGAATTTGAAACAGCAGAACAGAATATGAAACAGCAGAACAAAATTTGAAACAGCAGAACAAAATTTGAAACAGCAGAGTAGAATTTGATATGTTGAATTCTATTTTGTTGTTTCAAATTTTGTTTTGTTGTTTCCCGAGTTCTCAGAAAAGGCCGAGGGAACATATTCTTAGGACGGACCGACCTAAACGGTAAATAACGTGTTTATTTTTTTATTTGATGGTTCATGCTTACAACGAAATTCCGATAAAATTGCAGTTGCGAAGTACATTTGAGATCAGTTGCGCTTGTTACTTTAGTGCAAACATGGCTGACAAACTGCTAAAACTACGAGCTGTGTTCTACCACAACTGCATCAGGAACTTGCTAAACTGATGAAACAATTAAACATAGGGGATATAAGGCTGCGCGAATTGAGATATGGACTTTGATTTCGCGTTGAGTTTGACGTCTGCGTTGCATGATCGCGGAAATCATATGATAGTTAGTCATTATATAAGATTCACTTTCTTCCTTGGCAACAAACAACAACCTGTACCTGTGTTGGTTGGTTCATCGTCATCTTTGTTTTTCAAAGCAATCATACCGACAGATTTACCACGCTTTTCCAGTCTTCCAACTTTGTTGGCTTTTTTGTTATAAAAGGGAAAAAACAAAAAATGAAGATTTTGATAGTAGCCTACAACCAAGCAAAGTTATGGTACTAATAATTATAACAACAATAACAATAAAGATGAGGACAGGGATAAGGATAGGACTGTTCGGTATACCGACATACCGAAAATATCAGTTTTAAATAAATATCGGTATATCGATACCGGATATTCAACCATACCGATATACCGAAATTTCGGATATACCGGAATTTTTCGGTATACCGTGTTAAATTTACCAACTATATGGCGAAACCATAACATTTATTTTACTACTGAATGGCAATTCAAAGAACTTTCTACTGCAATGATTTAGAATTTCCACTTCAGTGAGATTTTACACGGAGTACGTGCATGTCGTTCGAAACAGCTTCGAAATGATCGTTTTCCCTTTTAGAATTACTCAAAATTTCCTTCACACATCCATTAAAGAATTTTCCATTATAATTATCAAAGGAAAACCGGTGTACCGATAATATCGGTATAATTTTTTCGGTATACCGATACCGGAAATTTCTCATACCGAACATTCCTAGATAAGGATGATAATAAATACGATATTATTTCAATAATAACTCATAGTGGTACCCCCTGTGACCGTAACCAAACAATTACCCCCCATATATTCAATAAAAATGCTGCAAAAAA